AACTGATGGAATAAAATAAATTTGCATGAGCCTGTACCGATATAAGTTAATAATTGCATAAATTAATAAACGGATGTTGAGGGGAAGCTATTCTTTTCAGAAGTCCAATTCCCAAATGTAGAAGGAATGTGGGAAACGCAAAATCGTCACTAGGCAAATACCACAGTCATAGTTGTGGATGTTAAAATCAGTAGGTAAAAATTTAGGGGACACAGGATTTTATATAATTGCAAAGTATCTCCCTTAAGATATTAATTATGGAGGGAAAAATAGTAACTGTATAGCGGAGAAATCCAGAAGACATCAACTTAGCCAAGCGATCAAGGTCAGCGTCACCAGTAATGAGCCTTATCCACGTCTCCTACGCTCTGTTGTGATGTCCTGAGGCTACATCGTCATCTCCGTGGTATTCTAACCAAAAAGTACAAAACTCACTCCACTCATGAGAACAATTACACAAACCCAAACTGAGGGACATTCGTCAAAATAACTCATAAAAAATATCAAAGTCATGAAAGATAAGGGAAGACTGAGGGACGGTCATAGACTGAGGCGTGACAGCCACGTACAGGGAGGAATTCTGAATCGAGTCCTAAAAGAGAAAGAGGACATTAGTGGAGAAACTGGTGAAATTCGAACAAGGTCTGCAGTTGAGTTAACACTGTCGTAAGCAATGTTAACCTCCTCGTTTTGATAAACGGATTACTGGTATTTAAATTGCTAACGTCAGTGGGTATATGTGAACTCTCTGAACTATTTTTATAACTTCTCTCTAAATCAAAAATTATTTTAAAATAAAGTCTAAAACATAATTTGATTCTTAGTAACTGCACAGGACAAATAAACTGCCTTCACCACTGGCCCCTGAGGAAGGAAACTGCCTTATGTACATATATGCACAAACGCACTCAAGTCCCAACTCGGACGCCAGATCCCTACGTCTTGGCTGACTGCGAACGGCATTTCTACAGCAGAACATGCCATCCTCGGGCTCTTGGCTGACCGTCCTTCCTGTGGAGGGGTCGGGGGCAGTTCAGGCAGACGTCTCTGTCCCCGAGGGTGTGCCCACCGGGAGATCCCGGCCCAGCGGTGCAAGGCAGAGATACAAGTGGGGGACAACCCTCTACCTGTATCGTGTCGGCCAGGATGCAGAGAACCCGCTCAGGGGCCTTGGGTCTGACCTGTGGGGGAGCCGAGGCCGTTCTTGCCACTGGCCCTGGCCAAGTCAGCGTGGATTTGGACCTCAGTCCTATTCCCTGAGCCCTGGAGCTGCCACTGTGGGGAGGGAGGCTCAGCCTCCAGCTAATCTCATCACCTGTTGTACTGGCCACAACCTGGACCTCGGGACAGCTCCCGCAGTGCCCAGGGGGCCCAGCCAGAGGCGAAGGCAAGGGGGAGTTGAGGTCCTGCCCTCACCCCTGCTCACCGCACACCTGTGATGCCCGTTCTCTGGTGCCAGGCTCTGTGCTGGCCACCGAGTGATGGAGTGTGTGGTGTGATCTTACTGCGTCCTCCCAACAACTCAGAAGAGGTGGGCACTCTTATTATCCCTATTAAAACTTGTGACAAAATACACATAACCTAAAATTTACCATCTCAACCAATTTTTTTTCTTTTTTTTGAGACAGGGTCTTGCTCTGTCGTCCAGGCCAGAGTGCAGTGGTGCGACTGTAGGTCACTCCAACTTCCGACTCCTGCAGCTTGAGGGACCCTCCTGCCTCAGCTCCCAGGTAGCAGGACTACAGGTATGTGCCACCACGCCTGGCTAATTTTTCTTATTTTTTTGTAGAGACAGTGTCTTTCTATGTTGCCCAGCCTAGTCTCAAACTCAAGGCCTCAAGTGATCCTCGCGCTTCTGCCTCCCAAAGTGCCGGGATTATGGGTGTGAGCCACCGTGCCTGGCCCATCTGAACTATTTTTAAGCATATAGTTCAATAGTGGTCACACTGTTGTGTAACTGATCTCCAGAACTCTTTTTTCATCTCATGAAACTGAAACTATGCCCATTAAACAACAACCCCCCACTCCTCCCTTCTTCCAGCCCCTGGCAACCGCCGTCTACTTTCTGTTTCCATGAGTGTGACTACTCTTCATAACTCATAGAGGTAAAATCATACAATATTTGTCTTTTTGTGACCAGCTTATTTCACTAAGCATAATAGCCTCATGGTTCAGCCATGTTGTAGCAGAGTTTACTTCCCTCTTAAAGCTGAATGATTTTATAACATTGTATGTATGATATTGTAACGTTGTATGTATGCGTCACATTATGCTCCTCCCTTGATGAACGTTCAGGTTGCTTTTACCTTTGACTATTGTGAATAATGCTGCTATGGACATGGCTGTGCAAATATCTCTCGGAGACCTTACTTTAAACTACTTTGGGTATATAGCCAGAACTGGTGTTGCTGGATCACATGGAAATTCTAGTTTTAATTTTTTGAGGGACCACCGTACTGTTTTCCACAACAGCCGCACCGTTTTAAATTCCCATCAGCAATGCACAAGGGTTCCAATTTCTCCACATCCTCACCAACACTTGTTATTTTCTGTCTTTTGATAGTAGCCATCCTCGTGGGTATGAGGTGGTATCTCGTCGTGGTTTTGATCTGCATTGCCCTAATGATTAGTTGAGCATCTCTGCATATGCGCGAGTCCTCACTGTACAGATAAAGAAACTGAGGCTTTGAGCAGAGATGTAACCTGCTGAAAGTCAGCCAGGTGGTTGGTGGCGGAGTCAAAGCTGGCCCTCGAATCAGTGTGACTCCAGCATTCCTTGTGCCACCAGCCCTCTGGGGAGAGCCACCCCATCCTGCTCACCCTGGTGCCCACTTCCCTTCCTCCTCCTCCCCAACACCGCTGCCCAGTTGGCTTTTATCACTCCCACCACCAGAAAGGAAGCAAGGAAGGGAACGTCTGCTGAAAAAAGCAAATCCTGCTGCCTGTGTGAGTGTGAGATGACGAGCATCCCCGGAGGTGCCCACCGGCCCCTGTGAACACGGGCAAATGTGGGTAGCTACAGACTTGGAGGCCAGTATCTACACCCTGTCCCGAGGTGAATAAAACCGGGGAAGAAGTGGTGAGCAGACAGGTCAGCCCAGCTGGTAGGGACGGCTGCAGCCCGTGGGCTAATCCTCTGTCTCGGGGGCTGGTGACACTTCCAGGAATTAAGGTAGGATGAGCTGGCCCTGGTCTAGATGCCCCCAGGCCAGGCTACGGGAAAGGGGTCAAAGCCAGAGAAGCGAGGCCACCCCAGGGCCCAGGGCAGGCACAGTGCTGGCGCATGTGGGGAGGGGTGTCCAGAGGTGGTCCATAGGCTGAGCCCACTTTCCACAGGTCCTGCAGTCTTCACAGCCACCATGCCTGGCTGGCCACCATTCTGTTGCAGAGGTGACTTCCACAGTTTACTCCCCAGTCCTTTCCCTTTTCCTTTTCATAGTAGCTAGCGTAAGCTCTTTCTAAAAACACAGATCTGGCCTTGCTTAGAACCTTACTATTTCCTGCTGTCCTCAGAATAAAGTCAACTCCTCAATATAGCCACAAGGGCCACTGTCAACTGGCCCATGGGGGTATTTCTAGTCTCGCCCATGCTCCCTTGAGCTCCAGCCACCCTGATCTGTGGCAGTTCCACTCCCGGAATCTGCCATGTCCTTTGCCTAGACAGGTACCGCTCATATTGTCAGACTCAGCTCAAATTTTATCACCCCATCTTGGAGTATTTCTTCACCTGTTATCCCACAGAGAGGGTAATTTATTTACCCCAGGCCACACAGCAGGCCAGCCAGGATTTGAGATCGGGCTCCAGAAGCCCACTGCTACCCAGGGCTGTTATCACACTCTTTCACACCGCGTCTGAGCCCTGAGGGCAGTCCCGGTGCCCAGCACGAGGCCAGACACAATGTCTGAGGACTGTCACATTGCACAGAGGGAAAGGGATAAAGGACCAGCAGAGGCCACTCTTAGGTTTTTCTTGGGAGGAACACAGAGCAGGGAGGGGCTAGAAGCAGGGAAATCCTACCTACCTAGGCTGTGAGGATGCCCCCCTCGAAGGAGGGTGTGCTCTGATCCAGCATATCCTGGTCTTTACCAGACATGAAACAGGAAAAATAGCAGGAGAAGTGTGTCCTGATTCCTGGAACTTAGAAAACCTGCCACCAACCCCTTAGGATGCTCAGGGGAGGCAGCACAAGCTGTAGCCCTGCCCACCTGCTGGCCCCATGCTCAGAGAAGTCTCTGGGGTCTCTTCCCCCCGAGTGCCCGGGGGCCAGGGTTATGCCTTCTCTGCTTCTCATACCCAACCAGCTCCAGGAGGCCCTTTGCTTCCTTTCGGAGAAAATTGGGGCCTCGGGACAGGACCCCAAGCTTCAGCACAAGGTACGTGGCAGAGCAGTACACATCCTAATGCCTCCAGAAGTCTGTGGCCAGGAAACAGGCCACACGCTGTTCTGTGTGTTGCATCGCAGCTGGGGGGAGTCCCTCACACGCCTCCTCCCAGCCCTGACAGGAAGGTGACTCAGGCAGTGTGTCTGGGCAGTCTGGGCTGGGCCTCCCCGGGCAGCATCTCGGCCCTTGGGAAACTTCATCTGTTGTGAAACTCGGAAAGGAAAAGACAGTTGGTGACAATGCTGTCTTCCCCATCGCCCCCTTCCTGGATGGTTTCCGTCCAGGAACGAGCTTCGAGCGAGTCCTGCTCTCACCGCGCGCACCTGTTGCTGGAGGCACAGCCGGGCAGGTGCGGGGCGCTGCAGGGAGCGTCAAGGGGGCGGACGCAGACGGAGGGGCGCCCACCTCCCGGGCCCCACCTCGGCGCGTGCGCAGGGACGGCGCGGGCACCCACCTCGGTCACGATGGTGGACAGGTAGACGTCCCGGCTGAACTCCCAGCCGTCCAGGCAGCTCTCCTGCTCCAGCTGCGCCAGGTCCACGTCGCGCCCCGGCTCCAGCCCGAGCGCCGAGAAGTTGGCGATGGCGGCCAGCCGGTAGCGGCGGCAGCTGTGCGGCACCTGGCGGCCGTCCTGCAGCCGCAGCGGGACGCTGTGGTTGCGCCACGCGCCGCTCAGGTTCGCGGCGTCCGGCACCCGGCAGCGGTGCTCGGGGGTCCCCGCCAGGAAGACGACCGACATGCCATTGAAGCCGTTGGGGATGATGCTGGCGCTGAGCAGGAAGAAGATGAGGCGCTGGAAGGGCCCCCACTCGCCCAGGAAGGCGGTCACCTCGTCGTAGTCCCGCATGCCGCCCTCTGCGGCGCGGCGCGGGGTCGCAGGATCCGGCGGGCGCGGCGCGGGTGATCGGAGCGCGGCCGGGCGTCCCCCGAGGGCGTCAGGGCGTCAG